GGCTTTTCTGCAGTATAGGCGTGATGCTACAGTGTCGAGATTAATATCTAGAAAATGAGAACTGATTATTTTGCACAGGAGTGCCCTGTTGGTCTGTCATAAAGTATTCTTAATAGTGCTGGCAGAAGGATCGTTCAGTCAGTGTTTACAGCATCTCTGCCATCAATACGATGTGAAATGTTTGTGTCCTCCAGTAGTTATTTAGGCCAGAAATTATAGATATGATGAACTCTCTTTAATCCAAACTCTTCTTTCTTCAAGGAGTTCACTTGCAAAAAGATGGAGTGGAAAGAACTCTTTCAAAGCAAAACTCAGCATTTGTTTAATATTAGATTAATTTTAGGATATGTGCCGATACTGTTATATTTGCCGTTTTGCCATTTTTCTTTTTCTTCTGCTGGAGTTTAGCTGTCACACAAGCCAAGCAACATAAGGCTTTTGTTATTTGGCAGACATGTTATTAAGTAGACTAAAGCAATCAAAATTTTTTTCTCATTTCATTTTTCTGCATCTGTATAGAGACTGTTAGAAAATCTTGCTATAATTTCCAGCCCTACAGTGATTTAATAACGTCTTCAAATGGTTGGTCATTATTTAGCTAGCGAAGATAATTAAGTTGAGGAGGAAAAAGGGGTGCCTAATTCATGAGAGAGGGAGATGTGATTAAGAGGAAGGATCCTATTTGGACTGAAATGATAGCTAGAATGCATGAATATTCTGCAAGGCGTGTACAATTTATTTACCTGTAAATGTTACTTTGTGAGGAGTGTGCCCAGGGGAGTGAAGAATAATAATAATCTCTAGTTTATTCTGTCTCATAACATGTGTGCTCTGAGGACACAGTACCTAATTTTACAGCATCTGTAGACATAAACTGAAGCTTTTACAGTTAATTCTTAAGCTGTAGAGCAGATGGGTGGAGATGACATTCAATTTAATGCCTACTTATGCACCTTTTACTGTAAACACTAGACTTTTTCTTTACAATGTTAGTTTAATTAAAGAATTCACTGGATTCTGTATGTTATTTACTCATTAAGATTTCACCAGTGGCTCTTCTGATTACTATTTTTATGGGCATTGGCAATAATGTTGCTGTGCAAAAGGGAAAAAGATGTAATCAGAGGAGTCAGTTTTATAAGCACAATACATGTCCATTCGTAGATCTGTCTCCTTAGTATGAGTGTTTTTTCAGTCAGTTTAAAAGCACACAAAACATTAGAACTGATAACTATTTCTTTACTTTCTGAATGATAGAATGTTTATTGCTTTTTCAGACAAAAATGTATAATACAGAAGTATAATCTTGATTATATCTCTCTCTTTTGAACCAGCCTCTTATTCCTAGAAGTCCTACAAGCAGTGTTGCTACGCCATCCAGCACTATCAGCACACCTACAAAAAGAGACAGCTCTGCACTTCAGGATCTCTACATACCCCCTCCTCCAACAGAACCTTACGTTCCAAGGTAAAAAAAAAATTTCAGGTACCATTCAATGTAAAAAGATATTTGGTAAAGTAACCAACCGTTCTGTTCCTACCTGTTTATCAGCCTGCCCTGCGGGATTAGGCTGATAATACTTCATTTTGCAGGTGAACTGGTTATTAAGGGTAGATATGCTGCATCAGACCCACAATGATCTGAATCAGTGTCTTGTCCGCAAAACGGACAGTAGCCTTTAGAAAAGGAAGCTCAGTACCTTAGTTTCTCAAATATGGGATAATCTATTGTCTGTGACAGTCTCATCCTATTTCAGAAGAGCAAAAATTATCTGAAACCCTGAATCTGTAACTAGGAAAAGGGTTTGTATCTGTCTCCTTGCCTAATGACCATGGTGCAACAAGGGAAGCTGAGCTAAAAGTAAGAAAATTCAACAAGAGTGCTGTTTTGTTTTCTTTTTTAGATATATTTGGTTTGACAGTGTTAGAGCAAATTTCAGGATTGCGTTTTAGTGTGGCTGCTCTGCTAGATTCTGCAGTGACCATGCTGCTCCCTGTAAATACATCTGCTACTCTGACCTGCCACCTGGAACAGGCATTTTCATCTCTCCCAGGTCTCTGGGCTTGCTGAGCCAGAAAAGCAGCAGATCCTCCTTGCAGATTCATCACCCTACCCTCACACAACCTCAAATGATTCACTATAATTCCATAATGTACACAGATGTTGTTTTCCTAAAATTCTGAGAGAACTACGGCCTATAAATAATACAGAAGTAGCTACCCGGAGATCTAGGAATGTACTTAAGAGGAATCAGTATTTTTAAAGCTTCCATATACTTAGACACAGGCTATCATATGTCCAGTCAATGTATTTTTAAATTACTTCTTACTTTTATTTTAGTTAACTTTCTTGGAAAGGCTGTAAGTGCAGCATGTCCTTTCTTGTACCTGAGTTTCTTGTAGCTGAGTTTTTCTTAGACTTTCTTATCAGTAACTCTTCAAGCCAATTAATAAGATGTATGACCTGATACTGACAAGACTTTCCTGGGGGTTATCCAAGAGTGAGGTATATGGCAAATTAAATTGCCTAGTGGGGAGAAGAAGTTGTGATTCTATGATAAATTCTTACTCTTCGGAGATATGAAAAACCTTCCAGGGCAAAAGAATGACTTTCCACTTCATGATTTAGATGATGTTGCAAGCCTTTGTGAAGCCGAAAGTCGAGTCCCATATTCCTTCCTCATCCTGCCTCGTTTGTTACCTGGCTTGGGTTTTATTTCTTGAAAAAAAGATATTGCCATTTTATTTCAAATGTGACACATATAGCACAGCTGAACTTGCTAACACAATTACTTTAACATCTGTCTTAAAGTGACGAAGAGACAAACAGAATACAGAGTCTAGTTCATTAATTTTTTTTCTTCTAATTAAATAAAAACATTGTCAGTCATGACACTTGAATTGTTTGTAGGGATTGAACGTGTCTTTTATCTTGCTGATAAACAGTATTTTGTTATGTCTGTGTAAATATTTTAAGGATATGGCTTTCAGAAAATCCATAGAAAAAATTAAGTTTTTAATTCTTACCCATTAATGTAAAAAAAGCTGCTAAAGGAAACCCTAACCAAAACATGTCTTAGATTTCTGTTTGAATGTAGTAGTTATATGATAAAGATCTATTGCTCTTGAAACTGAAACTGTACTGTCTTAAAAGAAGTAGTGCCTTTGTACTGCTACTGATCATGTTTACCACCATTAAAATACCTTTATTTTATAAGAAATACATCCTCTTCTTTGAAGTATTTTTAGTGAATATTTGCTGCTCAGCAGTTTTTGAGTTCTACTGTAGAAATCAAGATCTTCAAAATGCATTTTGATTATTTATTAATAACATTTTTTAAATCATGATGATAATGCAGTCATTTGGACCAATTCTGATTAAATCTTATAATACGTATTTGTACAAGCTGTAATCTTACAGAGAGATTAAGCTATGTACATTTGGATTTTTTTTATCAGCTTAATCCTAATGGACTATACTTCATTTTACAAACCTGTCGCATAGCATACAGTGTTTCTGAATAATCTGCTTTGGCATTTCATCAGGTTTTTTTGTCCATGATTAACTATATTTAAGCACATCTTTATTTCGGGTATTATCAGACTGTTCAGCATCTGTTTCTCAGTTTGTTGCCACAGCTCCAAGGAAAAAACCCCAAACAAACAAGCAAACAAACCCTCCTTTTGTTACTGGAATAGAGTAAAAGACTTGATATTTTGATGTAAATTGTAAAACCCTGAAGTTATGCTGCCTTGGTGACCATAGGCCTAGATCGCACGGCTGCTGACATAACTGCACATGGATGAGAAAGAGGGACCAATGCTCACTTACTGCTGGTTACTTAGAAGTGCTGGTCGTAAGTTAGTGCCTGCTCAAATTTGTTAAATACCTTTGGGAGGTGAGTGCTGAAGCCCTCATCCCCAGAGGGCTGTGGCAAAGGGTGTTTGCCTGGTGGTCTGCACTTCTCTCCGTGCTCGCAGTACAGATCCCTCCAGCTCAGGCTGCCCTCCTTGTCCTGGAGGCTTCCTTGTGCCAGCCCCTGATGGTAGCTGCAGCACCAGGAGGCATCTGGCTGGTTTGTATCAGCCTCCATCATGTCACCTGCCAGGGTCCCCCAGCACTGTCACCCCAGAAAGTCCTTCTATGTCTGGAGATAAGCTCACAGCCCCAGTGAGGCTGCACCAGCCCCCCCTCTCTAAGCCAACACCATCCCTGCTCTGGGAAAGCAGCCTGGCAAAGTGAGCACAGGGGTCAGTGGGAGTTTGTGATGCTGCGCTGTCGCAGTCAAGGCAGGATGGCCCTTTCCCATCCTCTGTGGCTGCCTGGATCCCACGAGGAGGCTTTGCTTTGTCCTCAGATGGAGTCTCAGGGTGCCAAGGGGTCAGCACGCCATCCAGCTTGGAACTCAGATGGCAGTCCAGAGGGGCATAAGGGCTCCAACAAGAGCGTGAGGCCCCAGCTTCTCTCTTGGCTGTCTCCCACGTATTTTGCTGCCCAGAAATTACTGTCTGATTAGGTCTTTTGCAGGCATCTCCAGGCACGGTCCCACCAGCAAGTCTACTGAGCCCTGCTTCATCTAGTGGGTCCAGGGAAGGAAAAAGCAGTCATCCTGGGGATCTGTACACAAACTGCAAAGCGTGTGCCTTGCAATGCATTGCTGTCCTGGGACAGCAGCTTGTAATCAGGTGCTACATACCCTATTTGGTACTGCATGGATGTACCTATATAACTTCTAGGCCTGAATTCATTGTGCAAGAGTATGTCAAATACCTGTACATCATCGGTCCCTGGTTCTTTTTGCTCTGGGGTTAGTTTGTAAGGAACTAGACTGAATTCATCCATGCTTACCATATAGCCATGTCTTAAAACTATCATCTGATGTATTTAAAAATGCAAGTATAAAAAAGTAAGGTTGACATTATTTCTCTGCCCTAAATCACAAAATTACAGGTATATTAAAAAAAAAAAAAAAGATTAGCTACACATCAGCTTTATTTCTATGATTCTTTTCAAAAGAAACCAGTAAGATGGATATAGTCTGTAAAAGAATTGAATAAGTAGAGATGTATGAGATAACTCACACATACGTGCATATATATGCATATGATATCTGATCCTGATGTTAGTCAATGGAACCTGTTTCCTCCTTGTATCAAATATTTACATATTCCCATGTTTATTGAAATATTCACAGCAAAATGAAAATCAGTGTCTTATCCAAATATATTAAAAACCTCTCTTGTTTACTAAAGGGATGAAAAGGGAAATCTCCCGTGTGATGATGTTGGCAGACATATAGTGGGCAAGCCAGTTCATACAGGATCCGAATCTCCAAACTCATTTCTTGACCAGGAATATCGGAAACGCTTTAATGTGGTTGAAGAAGATGCAGTTTTATACTGCTATGAATATGAGAAAGGAAGAACAAGTGGTCCTGGAAGGAGAGAGAGCACACCAACATATGGTATGGCATTGATCTAATAAGGATAATCACCATTTGTTGATTTTAGGATTTTCATGCATCTGCTTTTGGTTTTAAGCATCAAAAAATTTTTGGTGGTCATTGATTTTGCTAATAATTCTGTACTACTTTAATTTGAACGTAAAATCTTCTTCTGTGCAAGAAAAAAATAATTACTATGATAGGGAGGGCAAGTCCAGTTTTATAGTGATGATTCTTCTGAATTCTATCATTTTGTTATCAGCTTAACTTTTCAGATTTTACTTCAGTATCATTTTATCTAAAAACACCTGGCAGAACTCTGTATATTTTTGCTAAAAAACCAGGATGGAATTACTCTCCTAGTATGAGGGCAAGACTTACGAGGGTTTAGGAATTCAGCATTAGAAAAATTTACCCATGTACAATAGGTTTAAAGTTCAAAACCACTTCAGATTTACCAAGAGATGATATGCTGCTTTCATGCTGCACTACTCTCAAAAGCTCTTTAGTTTTTCTTTATTCTCAGAAATGAAGTATGACTGATGGTGGTATACTTTTTTCATAATACTGTATTACCTCCTATATGGGAAGTGATGACTTCCTAACAGACACATGTATTCATGCTACTACCATATCTTAGATTTTGACTTAGTTAGGGTGAGAACTCAGAAACAATTTCTGGTGAGAGTTTTGCTCCTCAAACCTTTATGCTCCAGGTTATTTTCCTTTTGAATCTGTTGGAACTCTTCCTTTAGTTAATATTGTAACTTGTTTCAGCTTTGAACTGGAAGAATTGGTTTTCTGTTGCCAAGTATGAAATTGTGCAGTCACACAGAGTTGTTAGGCTGTGAAAGAAAATGAAGAGGAAATCTCATGTTTAAAAAAGATATTTTGACTACCATGGTATTAGCTGAGCACCCACTTGAATACTTTTTCACTCTACTTGCTATGTAATTTCAATTTTTAAACTGAGCACAAGCTGTATGTTGGAGTTACAGTAATCCTCACATCATATGCCTTTGAGAAGAAGATAGACTTAATTTGTGAGGAAGCGTAGATTTTGTACATCATGCAGCCAAGCTTGAAAATCACCTGAGCACCTTGATATAAATTGAGCTTGACCTGTGTAAAGTATCCTCAGGACCTGGAGCAATGTGGTTGCACAACATTAAAGGATGCATTTTCATAAAACGCACCCTTTCTACACAACTACACAATCCTGGTGCAAAATCCTCAGTATCCTTTTGATTTCATAGTGTTTTCAGGTGTTTTCTAGCCATGCCCATAGTATACAAAATAACTGCTAAGTTTTCAAAGTGGGTATATCAGTTTTATTACTACAGTATTTAAACTATTGCAATTGGTGGATGCAGTCAAGTTCCATTAACAGAGATGGACTCTGTTCCAGATGTTAAATTTTAATACGAGTGGTCTGGAGTGAAGAAGAACACATTTCTTCTTCAAGGACTGCTGAATCCATTATTTTGTTACAGGAAAGCTTTTTTAGCCTTTCTTTCTATTAGCAGAAAGGGTTATAAATACATGGATCAAAGACTGCATTGAGAATCAGTCATTCTTTAACACATTTGTTATACAGCCTTTCACTTTTGATCTCACTCCTTTTTTAATGAATTCACACCATCGAATCCATTTTCATTTAAGTGTATTTTCTAAAAATATTACTGTTTCAGCATTAAATTCTAAAGTTTCCCACATGGCATTTGTTAGCACAAGATTTGTGGCTAGGCATGACCTTAGGATTGCACAGAAATCTGGAAAATGACAATAACACTCTTCTGGCTTACGGTGACCCATTAAAGAAGGTCAAACAGAATTCCAAGGCCTAGAGAAATTATTGTTTTCAACATGTACTCACCATTAATTATGTGGTGGTGTCAATTTTTTCTTTAAATATTTCTCAGTCCTCCTTTGTGAGAGGTTAATAGGGCCCTCCATAATTTCTTTCTTGGAATCTTTTGACATTTTTTGGCAATGTTAACAAAGAGATTTCTCTTTCATGCTCTTACTGGCTTCCAGCTGTTGTATAATTGTTGCTAATTGGCCTCGGAAAGCTTCTGTTCACATCCCGAGGAAGATATTTTCCTGAGTGTAGTCACCAGGGAAAAGAGATCTAGGGAATCTATGGGGGTTAACAAGAAGGAGATTAGCAGAGGTAGCAGGCAAATGAAACTTGAGTTTAAGGAAAGAAACAACTTTGGTCATTGGAGTTTAACTGCCAGATTAAAAAAAATGCACTTTGAACAGCTAGAGATTTTGTAGAAGATTTGTTATGGCTATAGCTTTTGATAACAATCAGACTTTAGGTGATTTTGTAGCTTTTGTATCTTTGTAAGTGTGGAAGTCCTTTCAATAAGATACTGTGAGTTCAGCCTGACGAAGAAGAGAAAGTTGTATTTCTGGCAAAAGTAACTGTTGAAAGTTACTTCTCATCAAGTAAACATGAGCCAAATACATCCCCACTCAGGAAATGACTGCTTAACTGTGTGATCGAAATCTCACTGGCTTCAATCAGACTTAAATATGTGTCCATAAATAGTAAAATGAATGATAAATAAAAAGTTAAATATGTATGTTCTATTCCCTGAGCAATGAAGTATTTGTGACCTGATCCTGTGGACTGTACAGAACATACACCTTTTTTTTTGTCAATTTTTTAAAAAGACAATACAACCTTTTGCCATTTTTCCGCCTGCTTCCTATTGGGTATTTCCCATGGACACCATAATTCAATAGGTAGAGAGACATGTTTGAATATTTGTTTTCATTATAAACACATCTTTCTTTTTCACTGTATCATGGATTTAACCTCAAAAATGTGGAATAAGACTGATCACCTTTATGCAGGGCTTTTCTGCTAAAATAATTAACAAGACTTCCGAAGTTTTCACTCTAAGCTCTGCTACTTTTAAAAACAAATTATTTTCTCGCTTTTCAGTTTTGTGACCAGTAGATAGTTTCAAAAAAGAGTGAGGGCAGACCTTGGAAACACATTTTGTTTTCTGTCTGCCAGATATTATGCCATATGCTATGCTACTCGATGTTTTGTTTCAATATACTATTTAACTTGCTAAAAACTTCAGACTACTTTAACTAACCCCACTAAGTTGCATAGCACACTTTGACTGAATTTCCAACTATATTTGTGGACTCCTTAAGCAGAAATCACAGTTCACAGCATTTTTTAAATCAATTCAGCAGCTTCCAAATCAAAATTTGAAAGATATAGTAGTCTTCAGCTTTTCTGTTTCTTGCGGTCTGAAATCAAACTGAATTTACCAGTAGTAATGTACCTTGCATTCTGTGGGTAAAACACTCCAAAAGAAATTACATGTAGAGGTTTTATGCTTCCTTTCTTACTTAGTCACTGATGGATCTTTTAAGCCCACCAGCAAAGATGCTATTTGTGAAGGTACTTTAGTGATGTAGACACGATTCTGTTACCAACAATTCACATATACACTTTAAAACAGTTCTCTCCATGTGTGTGCCAGGGGCTTCCAGAATAATAAATAGATATTGTTCAGTGAAAACCAAAGTAATTTGAATGCATTTGTCACTCTGAAACGTTAGTGTGCTGATGATTTTGTAGGGCCAGAGCCCTTTTACTTTTCTAAACTTTAAAAAAAATCCATTAAATACTTAGCTGCTTCTTGTCTGTTAAAGAAAACAGAACTCCTATCTTAACCTCTTGTTCAGAGGTGATGCTGGATCCTCTTTCATAAGCAACCCTGTAGAATAGCAGTTTAGCACATAATTTTTTCTTTCTTCAAAAGAATGTTAGTTTAATGCTGCCTTATGGTGCATGATCTCAATTTTTTCCTCTGTTTCCAGGGAAACTAAGGCCTATTTCTATGCCAGTAGAATATAACTGGGTGGGGGATTATGAAGACCCCAATAAAATAAAAAGAGATAATAGGAGAGGTAAGTGGTCTGAACATACATCTTGTACAAGGCATTATGGGTTTTATCATGCTTTAAGCTATATATTTCAACCTGATTTTGCTGCTTGCTTAGATATTTATTTTTGTGAACCTGTTTCAGGTTCTTTCATTATGTATACGTATTTTTTGGCAGAGCGTCTGTTAAGATTGAGGAACTTGCTCAACCAGGCGAAAGAATATTGTGACTGCAAAGCCCTGCAGTTTTGCTTAAATTTATATTGGCATTTCATTGATTCAGCTGTATTATCCAGTCCATTTTGAAACTGGCCTTAATTTTATAAGACTAGAGGGCAAATATATGGTTATTACTGATAAATATTGTTATGCTTAAATGAGAATTATATATCATATTTCTCTGCATTCATGAGTTCTTTTTGGATAGAAAACATTCTAGAGCAGCATGGGATTCATCTCAAAATCATCAAGGATAAGTTCTTCAAAATTCTGTTTTGTGACGCTCAGATATGTAACCACATACCAAATGATAACCTCTGAGATCGCTAATATCACCCAGTCACGAGATGTTACAGTAATTATAGATATATCCATAAAAATATTAACTAAATTTTCAGTATGGATCGAAAAAAGGAAACATTGTTAGGAATTATTAGGAACAGAATACAAGACAAATTAAGAAGTATTCTTATGCTGCTATGTAAGTTCTTGCTCACGCTGGATATGTGTGTGGTTCTGGTCTCTTCATCTCTTAAGAAAAATACAGTAGCATTGAAGAAGGCTTAGGAGACAACAAAAATGATCAGATATATGGAGTGGCTTCCAAACCAGGGTCAGTTCAGTAGGCTGGTCATCATCAGTTTGGGAGAATTTAGGCAGGACATAATAAAGATTTATAAAATCTTGTGTGGAATGAAGTAAGGAAATAGGCTTGTCACTGTTTTTTCCAAAACAAGACCCGAGAGACATCAAATGTCTCTGTTGAGTGCTGGTGAAAAAGAGATGGCTCCTTGTGCAGGTTGGGTTCAAGCTAAGGAACCTCTTGTCATAGGAGGCTGTGGATACTAAAAGTTCACATTAATACAAGGAAAGACCAGACAAGTTCGTGAAAGACAAATCTGATGAGGTTTCCTAAATTCACAAACATTGCTTCTGGTTCAGGATGTCCCTTAGCTACAAGCTGGTAGATGCTGGGAGAGTATTCAGGGAAAGTGTGGATGATACAGTGGATGATCTTAAATGAATGTTCAAAGCAAATTACTTTTAAATGGATGGCACCATAGTAATTTGTATTCATTAGGACCTTGTTTAAAAAAAAGATTACACATATGATCATAAGTGTATCCTGACTCATTTTTTGAAAACTCCAAGACACATTTTATTGATGTGGGGCTTCTTTTATATTCTATTCCTTTTATTGTCAAAGATACCAGAAAATGGCAAGAATCATGAATTTTCCCTATTAAAAGATTGCTTCCTTATTATATCCAGACCAAAGAAGCAAATAGGTTTTGTTAATAAAATAGTCTTGAAGAGTTAAAATTGATGTGGATCTTAGCAAGAATATTATATATTTTGGAAGCAGGATTAACGTGCATATAACGATTCACAATGATGTTTTTCATTACTTTTCTTTCAACAGAAAATTCATTGCTTCGTTATATGAGCAATGAGAAAATAGGTCAGGAAGACTACATGTTTCAAAGGAATAGCAAAAAAGATACAGGGAAAAAGTCCAAAAAGAAAGGAGACAAGAGTAGTAGTCCAAGTCATTACTCACTGTTGCCTAGTTTACAAATGGACTCATTGAGACAAGATGTCATGGGCACACCTGGACCAGAAACTGCTTTGTACCACGTAAGTAAAAATAACATTAACAAAATTATTTGCTCTGTGCTTGTGATGAGAGACTGTCCTGTTTTGACAGTGGTGTTGAAACCTTTTTTGGACTGTTGCTGTTGCACTGATTCCTATTCTTCGGACAATAGCTAGATCTCAAACAAATATTTTAGAATTCTTTATTTTCCTTTTAGAAACATGGGACGGACACCAGTGTTTTATCTCCTTTAACTAGAAGTTGTTGTGTTTGAAATGGAGTGTGGTATCTCTGCCTTGACATACTTGCTACTGATGGAAAGGGAAGAAACAGCAGTTTCCAGACTGGCTAGAAACCTTCTTCCAGCATCTATGTCACTGCAATATGCTAAGTCTTATCAGACAAACCCCTTTATTACAGGTACTTAAAGGTCTGATAATGGCAGGAAAATTTGTAGGTGATATTTGTTTTTGCTTTGAGGTAAGGGGAGCCCTAATGCATGTAACTGTTTAATAACTCAAGTAAATGTGAAGGAAGGGATTCTGCTGAATAGGACATAAAAGGAAAATTGCAGTAACATGCTAGTTTTTAAATGTGTCAAGGAAATGGAGTTAGACGATCACAACATATTTTAGATATGATACCACATTCATCCCATAAAAAGTATTTACCTTTTAGATCGCAGTAAAAGATGTCATTGTAGAGGAATATACACACAGTAACTGTACAGCAAAACAAGAAAAATAATTCAAATTATGTTCATATACTGGCAAAGACTGTGTAATTTAGATTGTCTGTGTCTAAGGGAGATGGCAGTGTGGGCTTGTCAGGAAGTCTTCTGTGAAAAACTGGCGAGTGGAGTTTCAGTCAACCTTTAAGAGACAAGTGACTTGGTTTCCTGTTGTAAAACATTACCACGGACTATCACATTATAATTGGTGTAGATTATTTGAAACTAATGGAGCCTTTACATCCTTTTACACCATCTGAGTGCTTGGTCCACCGGCTTCTAAAAGTCCTTAGTGTGCTGCAGTGTATAGGTGAATCTGATAAATTTCAGAGATTATGTCATTTAGTTTTAAAAGTAAGTGCTTGTAGTGCACTTGAACGAAATCAGGTCCCCAGATTCAAAAACTGCCTTTCTTTTTCATTTGTAGTAATTTAAGTATGGTAATAAACATTTTTTCTTACATTATTATTTCCAACTTTAGTTTTATGCTCTTTTTGTATGTTGAAAATCTCATAGTGGGGAGATTTCCGTTTGCAAAGGCAGACTGGCATATGGTGTTTCCCTAATACGTGAAGCCAAGGAGATTGCAAGTGTCCCCAAACTGTCCTCTTTGTAATGTCGGCAGTCTTTCCTAGAAGGAATCTAATCAGTGCAAGAGCTCTTGAAATCAAATATTTACACAACAAAATAGAAAAATTATTTGTATAACAGAGGACTTTCCACTCTGTAAAGAACAGTGTGGTAAATTTGCAACACTTTCCATGTATTGAGAGAATACTCATCTCTCAATAACATTTCTTTGTTAGTATATGCCAAATTCCTGACACTGTGCAGTGAGAAAAAACTTTTTTTTTAAAAGGTATCATCTTTATTTTTCCTTGGTTTCCTCTATTACCCATTATGTCTAGTTTCCAAATTGTGTACACAAATAAATTATGTACACAGGAACCAGAAGATTCTTCAGAATTCTGATGTGGAAGTTAATGAGCAACAGCAAACTTAGAATTGACAACCAGCATTTTTCATGTGCTTTGGATAGCCATCCACAAAACACCTGAACTGTTAACACCACAAATTCCGCCACTGTCTGCTAATCCTTTTTCTGCATCATTACCATTAAAGGATGTCTCTCTCTCTCTAATGCCATTAAATCTTCAGCATCTTTTTTGGAAGTTTAGTGGGAGCTTATTTATTTATAAAAATAAATAAAGGTTATTTGTTCTTCAGAATACAAGTCAGTATTGATCTGCTAACTGGCTTTGAAGCAAAACGCATGAAATAGACAGAGGAAGCTTGGGTCATTGATTTGTCCCCGGGGAAATGGGAAGGAGCCCTTCACAGAGCGCAGCTGATTATTGCTGGTCCTATCTCTGGAAACCACCTGGCTGCCACCGTGCAGTACACTACAGTTCCCTTTTTGTGGTGATGGCACCCAAGCATACTGGCTTATGAAACCCTAATCTAGTTTGCAGATGGGGCTATATGTCTTTGCCATGTAGCAGAGCCAGAGGTTTTGTAATAAATTGGACAGAACTTTTCTTAAGATCTTAAATAAACAGTGCAGTGAGCAGATGAAGAACAGGGGAATACAGATAAAACACAAGGAACTCGTATCTGACTACAGTACAATTTTATTAAACTATAGATAACAAATAGGACAAGAAAAACATACTTTATACTCAAATTGAAAATTGCATGTTAAAGATCACTAAAAAGTGGCTGTCCTGATGGAAAATATTTTTTTACAAGCATCAGCTACCTAGTTTTCACAAAGACTTTGGATGATCTGTAAATGGCAGCCTCTGGATAAGCCTGAGTTCAGTGCAGAGGAATGATGGTAACTCCAAAAACTGTACTGATAGTAGTGAAAGAGACTGGGGGCTTTGATTTGGGTTTTGTTTGGTTTTGTTTTGTTTTGTTTTTAAGAAGTTGATGTTTTCATCATACTAGAATACCAGATGAAGAGAGAATAACACTGACTCTGCGCTGCATACCACAAGCCAGTGGATTTTCCTGAAGTGCAGCTCCTACCAGGTGGCTGTACCTATGGTGACTCAATTGGTTGTATTAGGTCGCAGTACTAGAAAATACTGCACCAGACTTGTTCAGTAGTTCCAATCCCTGGTTGTTCTTGTTATTAGAAGTTTTCACCTGTTAGCCTGTGTTTACCTGGCTTCTATGTCCAACCTTAGTTAAAAATGTAGCTTTATCCTCTAGGTTTAGAGGTCTTTTGTTACCAGATTTTATCTCCCGGTATAGGAGTTCACATGTTATAATCAAATCACTTTGTAGCCTTCTTGTGCTTAAAAGAAATAGTGAGCATCCTGAATTTGTCATGAGAGCATGTGTTTTCATACCCTTTCATCATTCTCATAATTCTTTCAACTTCTTATATTTAATCCTAAAGTATCCTAAGTATCCTAAGCATCCTTCCTAAAGTGTGTATGTCAGAACAGGACATAAATTTCCAGGAGCTGGATAGAAAGGTAATATAACCTTTCTATTCCTGTTCGCTACCTCTCTACTTAAATATTTAAAGGACTGTTTACCCACTTTAATCATAGATTTGGCGTGGGAGTATACTTATTACTTGGTTTTGGTTTTATTTTTTCTGTAATGTCACTTTTCCAAATCACTGATTTGCAAAACTGGTATTTCCAATCTAATCATTTATATCTTGCATTCTTTCTTCTTAAATCTATAACATTGTGTATGGTTGGCCATGTTGAAACATACGACTTCTTGGGTATGCTTGCTGAATAACCTGTGTCTCTGAAGCAACCCTAAGTATGAAATGCCAGATAGTAAGGGCTCTAGGCCCTCGAATTGGGCCCCCATGATTCCCAGGTCCATAACATGGAGTATTGAAGCACCAGGAAACTGAGGTCTGCTGTTTTGGGAATTTCTTATTATTCTATGAAATAAAAAAAAATCCCACAAGTTTAATTCTTTTTTCTCTATTTTATTTTTCCTTTTTCCTGAATTCCTTGGAATAGGAACCATGCTGCTCACTCAACATTCAGATCTCATGTCATTCACTGGTCTTTGATTCTGTGTTACCTTTATTCAATGATGTTTTTATTCTTTTTTGAGTCCATTGATATAAATGCTTAGTAATTTTGGACTAAGAATACATCCCACTAGTTAGTGACGAATTCCCCTTACAATTCCAGGCCTCTTTCCTTTTGAATTTTGCAGCCATTGACGTGTGCAGGTTGACTACCTTCTTACCGTGACGGTTTTCTGCAGAAAAGCATATTTTACAATTATGCTGACTTAAACTCCTTGCTTCTACTGCTTTTATACATGGCTTTATAGAAAAGAAAAATCTTTGATCAAAAAACTACACTGAAGAATTAAATTACCACAACAGAAAGGGTATGTTTTTGTCCTACAAACAAAGTGGATGCTGTTAAAAAATTACCATGGTAATTTAGAAGTGTGTGGTTGTTATTTGCTAAAAGCTATTTTGAAAAATGCCAGCAGATTCCAATTGTTGTGTTCTGAAGTGATCACAAGAATGTGGTAGTCTAGCATTCTTCTGACTGTCAGTATCCTAAATTTGCATAAAATCACTGGTTTTAACAATTTTGTTTATATCATTGACCTGCCATTACAATCTAAAACTGTGTGGTCAAGGGAGCATTTCAGTTGTGGCCTAAAAAAAGTGAACAGTTTACTTGTGTCCACTGAACATAACTGATGTGATAGCTGATATGATAGCAAAAGAAAAACTAATTCATGTTATGTCTGTGAAGTAATCATCTCTTGTATCCATTTACGGTATTTTTTTAATCCTCACATACAAAGTCTCTTCCCCACTTTGCTTTGTTTTGTTTCTCATTCCAGAAACTGTTTCCAGTGTACCTTGATTTTTAGCCAAGTTGTTGATTTTGCATTCTATTTTTCTTCCTCAGTATTGCAAAAGAAGTACCAACAGAGAGCGTTAATGTTTTTATTAAGCCAAGGCAAACTGTTCGAGCTGTAGCTAATCTAGTGTGCAAGCAGGTGTTCAATGTGATCTATTACTGTAGATATAAAATGGTGCAGTTAAAATTGTCTTGGACCTTTGGGGCACAAGAGATGAAAGCTTTGACACATGATTATAGTTTTTTAAGTTCATTATGTTATTCTGTATAGGAATTTCCTTGGTACGTTGTGCTTTGTTTTCGTTGCAGGAAAATTATGTGGTTATTTAGGAGGGAGATAGTGTCGTGAGTCAAAAGAAGTTCTGCATCAGGTTAATAATAATCTGCTCCTATCAAGATCAATACAACTTTCCCTTAATCTAGAAACGGCATTGCTATGGGA